GATGATGGGCCCCTCCACAAAGGTTGCTTCCCTCAATGAAGGCTGCGGAGGAGTGGCTGGAAGCAGAGTGGTTTGAGTGGTACTGCTACTCCCACGGCTCTTAGGCTCAGGGTCCTGGGCTATTTCTATGAGGTCCTGAGGACAGGGCATGTATGAGGTGGTGGTGGTGAACTGTCTGATATACACTACCTACTGTCTCTCCCTCAGGATGACTTGCTAGGCTGGTTTGTAATAGCTGCTCAAATGGTTTCCCCACCTTATTTATTCCCTCTCCTACACACTTCTCCTGAAGGAATCTTTTTAAGGTTTGGTCTAATCATCTTATGCCCTGTTCAAAAAGCTCCAATCACTCCCTAAGATAAGCCCAGCCTTGAAACACAAACCAATTAGATTGGTCTTGCTGCTTGCACTCAGTGTACGGCTAGGGTGAGTATGCTGATCGAAAGATTGAAATATTTCATTTCTTTGATGTAATTTTCAAGAAGCTTTTACCTTGTTTGGTATCTCTGTCTTCTTATCTTATAGATTCAGCTTGAATTATTCTAGATTTGGTGCACTTTTTTTGAGGTTTTTAGCCTGGAAAGGTTATTCTATCATCTTGCCAATCACATTTGCTCTCTGACAACCATTAGATATATTTGAATCTAGTCAGGGAGTTATGTTAGATGTGTATATTTAAATAGAGAGAGGGAATGGACAGTATTCTTAGTCCTCCATATATATCCTGCAGTTTTCCATGTCAATGCCTTTGCTTGTACTATTTCGTAGATTGTATTATTCCTAGAATGTCCCCCTACAACTCCTAATCTTCATCTGTTGAAGCCTAACTCATTCTTTAAACCCCAATGTATCTACTACCTTTGCTGGGAATCTTGTCATACTCCCCTAGTCACTAATGACTTTCCCACTCATTTCTCAATTTTATACTTCTCTAATACATTTATCATATAGTATTGGGTATTATTATTATTATTATTTATAGAGAGGCTATGGGACAGCTAGGTGGTGCAGTGGATAGAGTGCCAGGCCTGGAGTCAGAAAGACCTGAGTTCAAATCCAGCCTCAGATACTAGCTGTGTGACCCTGGGCAAGTCACTTAAGCCTGTTTGCATATACAAAGTGCTAATTAAATGTATTCATTCATATACTCGCTTAATCATTGCTCATTGATTGCTTAACTAGAGGTCAGAACTAGAGATCACCTAGACCAATCAATCCCTCTCCTTTTAGGAATAAAGACAATAAAGTCCAGAAAATCCTCCAGTTATTTGTTTGCCAGGTCATGCAGCTATTATGGGCAGATTTAGAGCTCGAACTCGGTACCTGCCCCCCTTCGCCCAGGACCCCAGTCCAGGGCTCATTTCAATGTACTATGAATTGCCTCTCTTTCAAGGCTGCACTTGTTAATTTTTTTTTTAAACCTGACTTCTTCAAAAAGACTGAACATGGAATATGCTGACTTGTGAAGTGGTGAATCTCTTTTTTACTGGATAATTATAAGCACAGGTTTCTGCTTCAGGTAAGGGGTTGAGATAAAGTCGTCCCCCCGCCATGCCCCTTCATCTATGAAACTCTTTGATTCAGAACACATCTCCATAAGGGTGTTATGGAAAGGGCCCCATATCTGGGGCTCACGAGAACCTTGGAATGGGACCATGTCATTATTCCTCTTCTGATTCTCATAACACTTAATTTTCTTCTGCACTTATGATAGTGTAATTTCTATTAGATTTATCTGTGTCTGTTCCTTCGCTCTCCTTCTAGACTGTGTACTCCCTGAAAGCAAGAACTGTCTTATTTATCTTTGTAATTTCTCCCTAGATGGGCTTGAATGGAGAAGAATTGTAGGTAATGCATTTTGGCTTCCTTGTGGGGTCACTGATTTCCATGTCACATTGAGCTATGTTTACCCACATTAAAATAATTAAATAATATATATGCATATATATATACACATACATATATATACATACATATAGATATTTCACTTCTTTTGAAATCTGTTCTTTACCTATTGAACTCCTATTTTTGTTCCCTTTCCTGATGAGCATGATTAACAGCTGCCAACTCCACGTAACCTGGCATGTTTAAGGATGTGAATCTGCCATGTTACATGGCATTGATCATAAAGCACTATTTCCCAAAGGCCTCAAATCACTTTCCCACATTAGCTTTTGTCCATACCAATTCCCAGTATATAGTGCCAATTCTCATTGAACTCATCTAAGTTCATTACCTCCTGTATGACTGTTATGAATTTCCTATGTTCTACTTCACAAGTTTCTTAAAGGCAGGTAAAGTGCCATGTTTGTATTTCGTCTTGTACCTAGCAATGCTTTATGCCTAGTGGGAACTTAGTAAGTCTGGAATGAATGATTGAACTAATGAAAGAACCAATTCAATTATCAACTTTATGAAGATCTTTCCTTATCTAAGCTTTGTATATTATTTCAGGCCACTATAGAATTCTACACTCAGCAGAGGCCTATCAAGTATTTGATAAAGGAATGAATGAACTAGACTTTAAGCTTCATAAAGACAATGACCTTGTCTTATCTAAGCTTCTTAATAACCCCAGTCATAGTATAGTCCTCTTCAAATAGTAGGAATATATAATGAAGTTTGTTGAGTTTAATGAATCTGTGTAAAATTATCATGGGATAATTCTTTTCATTACCTTTAGTGACAACACCCAATAGTACTTTATCCTGTCAATTTCATGTTTTATTTCCATCTCTCTACCAGTTAAATTTCACAAATGACAATACAACTTGTTCTTATAAGTACATTTTTATTGAAAATAAAAAAATTAGTGATCCCCCCAAAGTGGTGTACTGCACAATTTCCAAATGCTACAATGCATATTTATTGTGCAATATCCTTAGAGACTAAATATACATTAATGGCTTATTGGAGGACATGACAACATTGATTTTTATGTTTCTCCATAGGTTACCATTGATACAGATTCTCTATAAACAGTAGTCATTTTCCTCTGTACATGTGGCACACAGTTAAGAAGGCAGATTTCAGGATATTTACATTCATGCATTAAATCTAACACACTACCTTTGCAATTGAAATAATATACTTTGTATATATGCAAGGAATATTGTAATTATATGTATTGTTTATCTCTCTTTAAATATATAACTATATATATAATATATATTTCTATGCTTTTAAACTTGTTTGAGGTCTTCCCTTCAAAGCTTGCTTCTGCAGCTCCTAAGAAAGGGCTGGAGAACTCTTGACAATTCTGTTTGTCTATTAAATTCTAAAGTAAGTCTCAGCTATGATACCTTTGGAAAATACCTATTTAATAAAATGTAAAAAAGAAAAGTCATATTTCATTCTGGACCTCAGAGCTCATAAAATATTCTGAGAATCTGTCTCTATTTCTGATTTGGGACTGCAGATACATTCTAAAAAAAATAAATTCTTAGCTAGAAAAGATCAAAGTCAGATTGCATCTTATGTATGCTTAAAAAGTGATATGATGTCATTTAATCAGGTAAAAAGCAATTGGAACTCCCTCCCCCTCCCTCATCAGTTTACAAGAAATCTCTCTGAATGACCAGCCCTTGCTTCAAAGGTTTTGTCTTAAGTGACTTTAAAAAAACAACAACAACAACAAACAACTGAGATGTTTTCTTTGCATTTTATTAAATGAACCAAAGACTATCAGAGATGGAAGGGAACTTAGAGGGCCTCTTGTCTAAATAAATTCTTTATTTTGAAGAGGACGAAACAGGTTCTAGAGAAGTGACTTGCCCAGGGTCAAAGAGGAAGGCCCAATTCTTAACAAAGAACCTTAGATGTCCCAAGGCTTAGTTTTAAAAACAATCTGTCTAGTCTGTACCAATTCTTCTACCACGTTCCCAAATTCTCACGTGGTGGGTTAAGAATCCTGTCCTGGGTGATTCCATATACTGGCTCAGCCTTTGATTTGACATGTAACCTTGGGCCCTCGGATTCCCTTCTCTGGACCTTCATTTCCAAATACATAAAACAAAAGTATTAAACTAAATGACCTCTATCGTTTCTTTCAGATCTAATATTCTATGTTCTAACAGTCTTCAGCCATTTCTCAAGACCTTGCTCTCAAACTGATCTTCACCACAGAGTCCACTGGGTAAAGAAGACGGACTAAGAACCCACTTTTGAGATAAGACACTTTACCTTCTGCTTATAAAGCAACTGCATTTTGGGAAAAGCATACTTTTAACAAGGCTATGCTTAAGGAATATTATTACCACATGATATACAGTTAGGATTCAGAAAATAGAGTTACCAGATCTATCACAGTCTCAGAAATGGGAGACTCTTCAGGGGTCATCAAGTGAACCCATAATGGAAGGAGAATCCCCTCTAAAACATACAGCCCCTCCTACTTAGAAGATTTCTAGGGATGAGGAATTCATTACTTTCTGAGGCAGTCTAAGATGTTGACCAGGATTTTTGGATAGCTCTAATTTTTAAAGCTGTATGGGGAAGGTAACTTCCTTAAATGGTATGAGAGCTCACAAATCATCAATTTACTGAATGTTGGAATGGAAAGGAGAGATGATCCCATTGAAGGCAGGTCATTTACCTAAAGTCACATAGCTGGCAAAACCAGGACTGGACTCCCAGGTCTCCTGACTCATGGGGCAATGTTTTTTTTTTTTTTCATTTAGTCAAAGTACTAAGGCTATATTCAGAGCACAGCTACTGTGGGTTTACTGCATAAACCTCAAATTTCTGATGAATTCTATGTATTCTGCTGCATGGTAGAGTGCAAAGACGATTGGATTCAGAGTCGGCGAGCCTGGCTTTGAAACCCAGCTCTGCTACTTTCTATGTTGCTGTTCATTTGTTTTTTAGTCATGTCCAACTCTTCGTGGTTTGCCATTTCCTTCTCAAGCTTATTTTACAGATAAGGAAATGTAAGGATTTTACAGAGGCAAACAGGGTTAATTGACTTGCCCAGGGTCACACAGTGGCTGAGGCTGAGGCTAGACTTGAACTCAGAAAGAGGAGTCTTCTTGACTCCAGGGTTGATACTCGATCCACTGTGCCACCTAGCCGTACCATCTATGGCAGCTGGGCAAATAACCTTTCCCACTTTTAACTCTTAAAGGAATTTCCTCCTTTGTGAAATGACGAGAGTGCTGGAATTTGATCTCTAATAGTACCTTTTTATTTGAAAATTATATTCATAAGATCATGGATCTAAAAATGGTATCTAATCAAACACTTCCATTTTATAGATGAGGAAACTGAAGTCCAGAGATGTTAAATGACTTGCCCAAGATCACACAGATAGCAAAAAGCAGAGCCTGGAGGCTTCTTGACCTCCTCTCTTCTATAACCCCTTGCCACTTCTTCCATCCTGACATTCCAGAAGCTAGATGGGCAGATGTGAGTGTGGGGGTGTCTCACTTCCAGTCTGTTAATTTATTATTTGATCTTCAAAACAACATATATGTTTGGTGAACTGGAGGAGACTGTTGGTGTCTGTGTTCGTTTAAACTGTATCATATTAGTGGGGCGAGTTTATGAAGTACCATAACTGCATGTAATAGGAGGTAATTCAAAGTTTAGAATCAGCTCAATACGCTTTCTTTATACTTGCCAGCATCTACTCATTTATGAGACTGATAGTACATGCTTTGGTTCAGAGACCACCACGTTCCCCTTTTTCTTAAAGGAAACTTTCAATTTTCTTTCAGAGGAGCACATTACATTTTGGAAAGGCCAATGCAAACTGAGGCTGGTATCGACAGTCCATCCTACTTAGATTTGCAAATATAGTCTTTTCCCCCACAAGCATGTGTCGGATCATGTTAAATACAGGGTGATTAAGAGTGAAAGATTATTCATAGAGATGGATGCTCTAAGTCAGAAGGAGTTGGAGTTACCTTTAATTTGGATGAATGTGACTAAATTCCAATCCAGTGATGATTACCTCAAATATACATTAAGATGATTGGTTCTGTATTAGTAGATACCTACTGTATGAAGGATATTGTGGTGGGTGCTGAAGGAAATTCAAAGGTTAAAAAAACAACAACATAGGACTGATGAATAAAGGTTCAACAGGTGAATGATTTTTTTGACAATCAGCTCCATGTGGAAGTCTCCTGCTTTCAAGAGCTTACAACCTAACGGACAGTAAATTTAAATAGACACATTATGTACTGCAAAACAGAGTGTATGTCAATATGCCTTGGTTTACTAATGTGTTAATTCCGTTGGTGATTATTTTCAGTAATGGGGTTGCCAACCACTTGAGACACAGATACTGAATATTACTGAAGCTTCACAGTGGCACTGGAAATAGACATTTGGGATCACTCCCTCTATCTCCCTCCATATTGCAATTCAATTCTCAGAACTTTCTATCTGGAGCAAGGTGATAGAGAAATATCTAGTTGACAAAGGGAGATACAAATGGGCTTTCTGGAGGAGGGAGACAAAGCAAGGCTGTTCCCAATCATAGATTCCCAGAGTCAGGACTTGCAGGGGTCATCTACTCCAGCCCATAGCTAAATCATATTATCTCCCCAAGTGGTCAGCCAGTTTCCATACGAAGACCTCGAGAATTGGGGAACAGATCTAGTTGTTTGTTTTATAGAGAGGGGACAACACAATGTCTTAATACCTTGGTACTTGAGGTACTAAGTGAAATGGGTTTGGTGGCAGCATGGCTTTAGGGAAAGCATGATCTATGCCACCCCTAAGTATGACAAAAAGTTCCCATGCAGAATTTGGCACGATAGGCAGCCTCCATCACAGCCAGTCAGAGAACTGAGCTCACAATTATTTGCCTGTTCTTTTCACAAACAACACTAGCTACAGGCTAGGTCTGTTAAGCTCTTGGCGAGTTGAGAAAATATGCAAAGAAATTAAAAAAACAACTAGGTGGACTCAACAGCTCATCCAAAGGATGGAAAGAGAACTTTGGTTTCTGGTCTGGCTCATCCTTTCCATATCTGAGACCATGAACACAGCTGTTTATCCACACCAATGTAAACAAGTTTCTTGTTCTTTTTTTTTTTCTTCATCAGGCATTTTCACAAAGAAATAGCTGTGCAGTGGGGCCTTAGAGTATGAACTTAGAGAGCTGAGGAGAACAAGGAACTCAAGTATTTGCTGGGGTGAAGAAGAAAGAAGGTAAGACAGAAACCCAAAGCAAAGGATGGAGGCTCTTGAGAAGGAATGTATTGAAAGCACCTTTTTAAAAAATGAAAATTCTCACAGTCAAACCAACACTTGAAGGAGCCCTGTCCTGATTGGAGGAGCCTTGGGTCACTGGAAATTGCATAGTCACCAGACTGCTGATAGGTTTCCCGGCCTTGCTTGTGAGGGCATGCAGGTTGGGGGCAGGTAGTATACGCTCACGGACACCTTCCCTCTAAAGGGTTAAGAAGAAGTGGAGGGTGCTACTCCCTTGCCAGAGGGATGTAACCAGCAAGGCTATGTAGGATAGCTAGAATGCCCATTCTAAATCCCCAATTCCAGCAAGTCCTCTTTTGTCAGCAGCTCTCATGAACTGGATCAAACAAAAATGAGGACAGCAACCATGACAAGAGAGAAGCTCAAGGCATGCTGACATTTGTCCCCTTGGCAGACGTTGCACGTGGTCATCGTGCCTCATTCTGGGCATAGGAGGAAGAGCACTGTAACTGAAGTAAGAGAATCTGGGTTCAAATCCCAACACTGCGGCTCCTTCTGAGATGCGTGACCTTGGTCAAGTCACGTAATCCCCCTGCCTTCAATTTCCTCCTCGGTAAAATGAGGGGGTTGAACTAGATGATCTCTAGGGTTCTTTCTAATTCTACGTTCTCCTCTCTGAGCTGCCTCTGACTGGCAGGCAAAATCCTTTTCATCAGATGCTCAGCAAAGTCTTGAAAAGCAGTCGGGTTTCTCTCTGAATGCTTGAGGTGTGCAAGAATTGGGAATTAAGTCCTGGGCCCACCAAGCTGTCACCTGCTGTGTCTTCGCTCCCTCCCTTCTTCCTGTACCCCTGTGTGCTTTGATGAGACCTCACTCCAGCCAGGCTGTCTGGGAGTCAGCAGGGATTACACAACTGCATTATTTACATCCACTGTTTTGTTGTTTTGAGAGGAGGTCATGGCATATTCGGTTCCACTTGTTCCATTCTCTTCTTTTCTTAATGGTTTCCTGGAACGTGGCAGGTGGGAGAAGAGGGGAGAAAAAGAGGGACAGAGAAAAAAACATGGAAATTAGTTATTAAAGCAGGCTTGGAACTCAGATAATGTGAGGGTACTCCTGGTGTTTTAATCCAACATTACATAATTTTCTAGCACGTACCTCATGAATTTCATAGTGTGTTCTCTCTTATGCTATTTCTTTTCTTTTTTTTCGGGCTAGGCAATGGGGTTAAGTGACTTGTCCAGGGTCACATGGATAGTGTTATGTGTCTGAGGCTGGATTTGAACTCGGGTCCTCCTGAATCCAGGGCCGGTGCTCTATCCACTGCGCCACCTTGCTGCCCCTCCTATGCTATTTCTAAAGGGATATTACAAACCATCTGATATAACCCCTCTCATTTTATAGAGGACGACACTGGCCCAAGGAAACGGGCAAGGATTAAATCCCATCCCTTTCTAGAACTATACATGAATACGTTGGCTGGGGGGGTGCTTCCTGTTCTAGGGGACTTCTTTAAGCACTGTATTTTGCAAATCTATAGTGACTGTATGCTACTGGACAGGTGTACAAATTGGTCCCTTTGAGAAACTAATGAGTTAATAATAAACATAATAGATGGCATTCTGTGATTTACAAAGTGGTTTTTTTTTACAGGCTTGATCTTATTTGACCCTTTCAGCACCCCCCCGGAGGTAGGTCATACAGGGATTATTAATATTCTCATTTTATACGTGGGGAAACTATGGCAAAGATAGGTGACCTGATGTGCTCTTGGGCACACAGGTGCTGAGGGCCAGAACCAGAGTTGCTCCTGAATCCTCTAACTCCTAATCCCAAACTTTTTCCACAGCACTGCCTGCCTCTTTATAACACTAACGTACCGAAGAACTGTGTAAGGCATTCTTACCTTGATTTGGCTACAGAGGCACAGAGGAAAAATGACAATAGCAGTACCAATAAAAATATAATTAGTATGTACCAGTGGTTCTCAAGCATGTCCTTGTGGGATATCCCCTTAGGGTTTACATTCGATTCTCACAATTCTACCCTTTAGCATCACAGTAAATTTTAAAGTCTGGGAGGGAGAGACGCAAAAAGACAGTAATATGCCTAATCTTCAACCCCTTACTTTTCTAAATTCCACCTATGCTTTGAGACCTAATTCCATCCTTGAAGTTTTCCAGGCATTTCTGACCACACTGTCTAAACTCTAATTGTTGTTTTGTCATTTCAGTCACATCCAACTCTTTGTGACCCTATTTGGGGTTTTCTTGGCAAAGATACTGGAGTGGTTTGCCATTTCCTTCTCCAGCTTATTTTACAGATGAGGAAACTGAGGCAAACAAGGTTACGTGACTTGCCCAGGTTCACACAGCTAGTAAAAGTGTCTGTGGCTAGATCTGAATTCAGGAAGATGAGTCTTCCTGAATCTAGGCTTGGCGCTCTGTACACTGCGCCACCAAGCTACTCCCAAACTCTAATGCTACCTTGTACTATGCATTGTGGCACTTAAACTATATCCTCTACTTAGTAAGTAAGTTCTTTAATGTATATGTGCATGTTTTACCTTTTCCATGAGACTGAAGGAAAAGACCACATCTGATTGGGTCATTAAAAAGCCTGAGAGATCTGGTCCAACTCCCTCTTTTATGTTTTACAAATGAGAAAATAAGAACTAAAAAGGTTAGATGATCTGTTCAGGGTCACACAGATACTACACAGAAGAACAAGATGTGACTCAGGTCATGGGACCTGAGCTAGAAGAGGTCTCAGAGGATATCTAGGCCCAACCTCCTCATTTCATAGATGAGGAAATTGAGGGATGTGGATGTGAAATGACTTGCCAAAGCCCACATGAGTAGTAAATCATCAGAGATGGGATTTGAACCCAAGTTCTCTGAGTCCAAATATAGCAGTCTTGCCACTACACCACACTTAGCATCAAGAAAGGACTCTAGAGATCATCTCGTTCCATCCTTTCCTTTTCCTCCAATGGATCTGTGCTCTTACGTTGTAGTTATTCCTTCCACTGATAGAGATCCCAACTGATTTGTCTGTGACCATCCTGTGTGACTCTCAGTCATACTGTCTCATTCATTTACTGAAGAGGGTCCTCGATGTAGTAAGGGCCTCCCTCCTTTTCACTCTGCATTGAGTGGCTCCTGATGGAGCATATACATATGGATACATGGCCTTGTTACTGGTTGTTCACTGCTCACTGCATGTTCAGACCATCTCTTTCTCTTGCTCATGCACTGGACATTGCCTTCCTTTTATAAATGAGGAAAATGAGGTTCAGTGATTAAAATGACTTCCTAGCTTTGTCACTTATATTTATTGACTAGCAAGGCTACATTTCAAACCCAAGCCTCTGAGCTTTAAGTTCAATGTTCTTTCCATTACCCACGATGCCTTCTATTAGTAATATCTGTATTGACTACTTTCTCAACTTCACTGCCCACAGCCTTAAAATTAACCACTTTCAGTAAAATCCAGTTGCTTAGGAACCTGTGTCACCTGTCTTAACCTCTTTAAAGTTCCCCGAGGTCCATCTGAGGCATCCCCATTCCCACTTGAGAGACACTGGTATGGGCCAATGGTTTAGCACTTAGATGGATGAAAGTACTAAGGAAGGAAGATGAGTTATCAATAAGTTGATGATGTTGAATGATCAGAATAAAAGTTCCATCGATATATTTGCCCACACAGAGAGAGGAAGAAGATGTGGTTTTCTCCTCTTCATTTTCAGTTGGAGTACCTCAGGGGAAATGACCAAGAAACCAAATCCCTTCCATGGTTTCTTGGTAGCAGTTCTGGGTCACTAATCCTTCCTTTGATGCACATCGGTTGGCTCATGACCATCAAAGTAATTTCTATGGTGTTTAGGACTTTGTTCAAAGCACTTTTATATTTATTATCTCCTTTGAGCTTTTCAGCAATCCTGTGAGGTCAGGAAAGACTATTGATCACAATATAGAAGACTAGGGCAGCTATTACTCTCCCCTTGTGATTGATGAAGAAATTGAAATCAGGAAAATGAGTCAGGCTCAAGCAGTTAGTGGCAGAACTGGGACAAAAATCCAAGTTCTTCAGTTCCTGGTCAATGCTCTATGATTCTATATTGTCCCTGGGATACATGGGAAAACGCTGATTAAAAAATAAAACAAAACCAGTCCTCCCATCTTGTTCTGCTGAGACAAAAAGTTGCCAACCACCCAAGAATTGCTTAATTTATTAGATGTGCTAAAGGGAACCTTGTCCTGGGGTTGGAGATTTTTATTTGTTCCATTGCTGTCTCCTACCATGATCTGGGTAGGGGACCTTACTTCTCTTGTCTATAACCTTTTCACCTGTAAAATGGATGTGATGGTGGGATCACAGAGCAAAAGGGGGTCTTTAAGTCAAAGAATGTTAGAATATATACTCCTTCAGGTCAGGGGCTATATCATTTCATGGCTTTGGAACCTCATGCTATTATTTTTTCAGTCGTTTCTGACTGCAATCCCATTTGGGGTTTTCTTGGCAAAGATAATGGAATGATTTGGCTTTTCCTCCTCCAGCTCATTTCACAGATGAGGAAACTAGGGAAAACAGAATTAAGTGACTTGCCCAGGGTCACACAAGTCTGAGGTCTTCCTAACTCCAGGTCTGGCACTTCATCCATTGTGCCACCTAGCTGCCTAGCATAGTTAAGTGCCTAACACATGACTGTTAGAGTTAGAAGAAAGCTTGGAACATAGAACATATAATTTTAGAGCTGAATGGGACCTTAAAATATATAATACTAGTGTCAGAGATATTTTAGATCCTACAACAGAAGTGAAAGGAAGATCTAATTAGTTAAAAAAAAATATTAGAATGTAGGGCATTAAGACGTTGAAGGAACCCTAGCATTCATCTAGTCCAACCCATTTAACCAGTAAGGAAATCAAGGCCCGAAAAGGATAACTGACTGGACTTGAGGAGGGTCACATAGCTAGTAAGTTGTAGGGGTAAGATTAAAAACCAGGCCCTTGGACTCCCAATCCTCTTTCTACTGCATAATCTAATGTATTCTAAGCTAGTCCTTTATAGTATAGTCAATAAGTAGTCTTTTATGCCCTCATAGAGGTAGAAAGGATGGAAAGAAACTGTGGACAAGTTGTCTGGAGAGCTCTGTGGCTTCCCTGGAGACAAGATGCTTAAAAATGAAATATTCTGAAATGTTACCCTTCTTAGTTTTCATGTAAGAGGAAGCCTCAGTTCAGATCCTTTGAAAATTTGACTCAGTCTTCTAAAACCCCACTATTGCCAGGGTTGGATACAGGCTGATTTCTGCTGTGGTGCCACTTGTCAGAAGATCAGCATAAATTTGAGAGGGTAATTCTAAATGGTGGAAAATTCCCTACGCATCTGGAATGGGCAGTCTGGTCTGGCTCCTCAGCTTTGTGCAGCCAAGGAAGACTGAGCAAATTGCCAAAAGGCCAGGGTTAGATTTACAACTACCTCACAAGTGCCTGAGGTTTCTGTTTTCCCTTAATTCAAATCTGAAGTCATGTTTGCCCATGAAAATAGAAGAGAGTGAATGGAGGACCATTCCTGTACCTCCTTTTATATTTTTTCCACATTAAGATATTAGATATTCTAGAGACAGAGGGAAAGCTTAGAAATCATATAGTCCAACTCCCTCAATTTTATAGAGGAAATAATTAAGGCTTGGAGAAGGGAAGAGACTTGCCTTCCCCATGAATACGTACTGTAAGTTTATAGCAGAACCAGGAATAAAACCTAGCCTTTTGGCAGTGTATTTCCATTACGACATCTCCCGATATGCTTCCTCTACATGATCTCATGTCACTTTAAATTTTTTCTTTGTTTTCTTCAAAATCACTTATGTGGCTCATTCCCCCCCCCCCCCCCCCCCCGCCCAGGATATCATGCTGCTTTTGGAGGACTGGCCCCTCTGTAATATCAATATGAAGCTAAGAGGCACTTTAAAATGATTGAATAGATGTGATGGGCCACAGTTC